TTCCTTAACCATAATTGTGTTTTTTGTTGTTGCTTTCTGCTCTTAAGGTTGGTTGAATAATCTCAGTTTTACTTTTTGTTTTATGCCAACTATTTCTTGAATTCTGGGAATCTAAAATTGCCACTTAATGAGAAAGAGAGATTATGGGTAATTTTTCAAATATGGGTTTGAGATTGTAGTGTTCTCAGTTTGTGGGGTTCAGATATGCCACGTGTATATTCTGTTCCAGAAGCTCTAATGCGAAATGGCAGGATATGAAATTTCCTGATAGTTGAAACCCTTCATGAAGATCTGTCTCTCTCTTGTTTTATTCTGGTAAGGCTAATTTGTGCTTGATTTGCGCTTCTTCGCCTTTCCAAACAGATTTTTAATTTTAGTTTTAATTACCTCCTTGTCCTGAAAAATGATTGTGTGTAATTTGAAGCCTCTTGCAGTTTGCTAACATTCCACTGGTTAACCAATTAAGATCATCAGTGTTGCAGAAAGCACACAGTTTTTGTTGCCTGCTATATTGGTTTTGATCAGTCCTGTAATATACATGATTTTGCCTCCTTTTTGTGCTGCTTTTTCTTTTTCTTTTTAGCATAGTTTCTAGGCACTGTTAGAAATTCTTTGAGAGAAAAACTTAATTTATTTTCTTAAATGTTCATTTTGATTAAAGTGAGGTTTACCTTTGGCAGATGTTAATGCTGTTTCTCAATTAGGTGAAGTATGTTCTTGGGAAGGTGCCAATTTGAATTGAATATTGAATATATTTGAATGATATGTAAACTAAACTGTTGTGTTAACCTTTCTCATCCATTATACAGATGATGGAGCAGCTGGCTGGTTTTGTGCATAAATGTTTTGTTTTGTTTTTCCTAGTACTATTTAAATATAAGAAAGTGGCTTCCTATTCTGGCAAAGAGAATTTCATAAGGATGTAGTACAGTATCCTCTTGTGAGTTCTTTAGACTGCCTAGAATTTAAATTGGCAGACATTACTTGGTATAAAATGCTTTCCATGGACGATATTAATATTTAAAAATTCTTTCTACTCCTGAACATTTCTAATAGACAGAAGTCTGGCCGTATTTACCCTTTGGCTATAGTGAATGTTGGTGGATTATTATTTATTATATGTAGGCAGAGTCACTGTAGGTCTGAAATCAGAATTGCCAAGGAAGACAAGCATTTAAAACATTAAAGACATAATCCATTCAAAGGAGAAAACTTAAGTGTGACTACCACAAAGAATTTTGCATTAAGGTCCAAATTTTAAGTCTGAAAACCTGTTGTAGCATCACCTCTGTCGATAGCTAAGCTGGGTCATACCACCTCAAGCCAGTCACTGAATTGACTGTATCTCCAAATTGAAATAGCCTCTCTAATGGCTCAGCTTTAGCATTGCATGTTCCATTATACTAAAGAGAGCATGGTTGAAGAAAGCTGAATCCTCTTGTTTATCAGCTATCCACGCCAGCCGGGCAGCTCTGAGGTCAGTCTCCAGCTGCATTTTCATCTTTTTATAATCCCCTAAATCCTTGCTAGGCTTTCATTGCTAGTTTGTTTCCCTAGGAATTTGCATTTAGAGATATAGAGGGCTTCCTACCCTTTGGATTTCTGTGCTCATGAGTTCGATGAAAAGTTAACTTGGAGTTGATGGAAAACGCAAGAATTGAAAGTCCCATTTGAGTGTTTCTGTGAAATCAAACTACTACCATCATGACTAATGGACCTTTACTAGTTCAAAGCTTTGAAGTCAGTACATTTGAATTTTCGTTAGAGAGGCGTCTTGTCATTTTCTCCTATTACCTATGCTAGCATTTTCCCTTATTTGCTCCTTGCTCTAAGCACTGTCTGTTTTTTAAAGCCTAGAATGATTAAGCAACAAAGCTCCATATCATGAGAAAAGCTTGCTGGCATGACCCTGTTACATTTTAGGTTCTTGCAAATTTCCTTGACATGGAAATATTTTAATTTATTTGAGCAACAATTTACCTTTTAAAGGCTTCCGAGAAAATAAACACAATAATAACCTGTTTCATAGTGTAGAGAAATTAACTATATTGTAACTTCAGTCAGTATGTGTATTGTTTTAATGAAACATAACTGAAGACAAAGCATTTCACTCATGGAAGACCAGTGATATAGTTAAAAGGGTGAAGAACAGAGGTGAGCATCTGACACAGCACTACTTGGGATACCTGCATCCCACATCAGAATGTCTGGTTTCAGGATCAGCTGTGCTTCAGAACCTGGCTCCTGCTAGTGTGTACCCTGGAAGGGAGCAGGTGGTGGCTTACATACTTGGATTGTTGCAACCCGCATGGGAAACTCTAATTGAGTTCCTGATGACTTCTATCTTGCCTAACCTATCTGTTGCATGCATTTGGAAAGTGAACCAGCAGATATGTGATTCATTCCCTCAAGCTATATTTCGAATTACGTGGGGGAAAAGGTAGAACATAACGAGCCTTGGAGATGTTGTGGAGAAATTGGAACCCTCATGCATTGCTGATGTGAATAAAGAATCATCTGGCTATTATGAGTAACCATTTATTGTTTCCTCAAAAATGTGAAAGATAGAATCAACTTTATGATCCAGGAATTCCACTCCAGGTTATCTACCCAAGAGAAATGAAAACATATTACCAAACTAAAATTTATATACAAATCTTCCGAGTGGCGTTTTCCATAATAAAAAGTAAAAACAACCCAAAATGTCCATCAGTTCATAGATGCTTACAAATGTGGAATAGCATATTCAGTGGAACACTGTTAGCAGTGACAATGATGAAATTGTATGATCATTGTCTGATTTGAAATTCACAAAATGTCTAGAATAGGCACATTCCTAGAAACAGGAAGTAGATTAGGGCTTCTCAAGAATTTGCAGTGGGGGTAACGTGTTTATATGTGTAAAGAATGCACAATGACTGCTAATAAATAGAGCGTCTTTTGTGTGATGGTTTTAAATGCTCTAATATTATGTAGTAGTGATGGTTGCAAAATTTTATGAACCCTTGAATTATATACTTTAAGAGGGTAATATTTATGGTATATGAATTACATCTCAAAATGATTGTATATAAAAACTTTAGCAACTATGTTACTGTATTTGGAACCATAAAAGTATATTTAAAGTACATTTTATGCCAAGGGTTATGGAGAAGAGAGAACCAGAAAGTTAGTGGTCCATGGGTACAGAATTTCACTTGAAGATGATAAAGCTTTGGAGATGATGAGTGGTGACGAGTGCCAAACAATGTGAATTACTTAAATATACAGCACTGTGCGCTAAAAAATTTTTTAAATGCCAAATTTTGTATGTATGTTGCTACAATTTAAAATCAGTAACCAAAAAAATTACATGGTGTAGTCTAAAATATAAGGCTGTTTTACATCTCTTTCTTTCGCCTGATCTTTGGTTTAATGTGTATGGAATTTTTTGGTATATTTTTCAGAATTTCTCTCCTGTGTGTGTATGTGTGTGTGTTTGACAGGGCGAGGGAATTACAACATACTGACATGTGTCTTTATCTTGGCTTTGAATGAGAAATTGAAAGTATTTATTAAACCTTATTTTCCAGTAGGAAAATAAAAGAAGCCAAACCATAGAAAATTTATGCTGTTAAGTTATAAAATATTGAAATTCTGTTCTCACAGTTATGAGCTACCACAGATTTCCTGATTTTCTTGGTTAATCTTAACTCCTTGAATGTGAAAAGCATTTATATTTTAGAAATATATATCATCTCTACATCTTTCTGTAAGCATTTTCCTTTGTATAGCAAGGTACAATGAACACCAAAATAAATTGTGAATACAGACACGGTGGATTACTTTCAGAAAGCCAAAGATGAAGCAAAAGAAAAAAAACTCAACAATGAGAAAGTCAATAAAAAAGGAATCATTTCCAACGGTCATGGAATTTTGTTATGACCAAGTGGTTTAGAGCATCTGTGTTTATAACCTCTAAGGATTGATCTGTGAAAACCTTTTCTGATCCTGATTTCTGTGTAGAACATTGGATTATGGATGTCTGTGAATACCTATAGTGCCATTAATTTAGTAAGCACTCAAAAATGTGTTTCTTTTTCTTGACTAAGAAATATGTTATAAAAATACATGGAACATGCAATGCCTGTGTGTGCCTGTGCATGTGTGTGTGTATGTGAGGTGTAGTTCTTTTCAGAGGAAGCATAATGGTCCTCTAACACTTTTGTTCCTTACAGTAGGGTTTTTCTAGAGTTTGACACTGTGATACGCTATACTTGATTATAGGATCCAATCAGAACTGATGTATTCAGAAATCCATTGATGTGATTAAGGGTCTCCTAATCATAGTTTTATGGCTTAAATTGGCCCTATTTCCTGTAGTTTCATGATTTTTGAGTCATATCTTGAATTGTTCTTTATAGGAGGCCTGAAATCTGTACTTTTAGTCTATAATTTGCATGATTATTTTTGTCTTATTTCATTTTTTCTTGTAGAAAATGAAATTTTGATTTTTTTAAACTCTTTGAGTGCTATTATATGGTAACTGGCTAACCTAGTGGGACATTTTAAAAATCTCCTAAAAAGTGTATGTGTATGTATCTGTGTGTGTATGTATCTGTGTGTGTGTTTCCTCCTACCAACACTAGATCCAAAAGTCTTCCTACAAATTTCCACCAGTCTACGTTTTCTTCTCAAAAGATTTTTTAAAAAGCATTCTCAGATTCTACAAGTAACAGAGAAGGACATCAGAAAATGGCTGTACATCAAATGTCATTGATCATTCATTCCACAATTGAAGTGATAATGGGATGAGCTAGCTAATGCAATCTATTAAATCTTAAAAATGATGACTTGCAATCTTTGGAGCTTTGAATACAATTGAAAATTATTAGTACTTTTGATAACTTAGTAGTTCCTTTAAAATCTTTTAACCTTTTTAAAATGATCGTCTGCATGCATTTGATATCAGAAAATTTCATATTCAGTAATTGTCTTAATATTTGCTTTGTTCTCAACAGTGCCCTTAAAGACAGCCGTTTCCCTCCAATGACAAGGGATGAGCTGCCACGGCTTTTCTGCTCAGTGTCTCTGCTCACTAACTTTGAAGATGTCTGTGATTATTTGGATTGGGAGGTAAGATGTTAGAAAATTTGGGGGGAGGGATATGAAAAAAACTCCTCAGTAGATTTTAAAATTGGACTCAGGAAATAACTCTTGGATTGATTCATTATTATAATAGAGGTTGATAGCAAACGAATGAAGAAACCTTGCAACTGAACCATGAGGTGTAAGTAAAGACATTTTGTTTTGTTTTTAAAAGGCATCATGCCATGTGTTGTTAGAATCCCCAAACTGAATTTGGCCTTCACTTTTATCTTACTGCCTCATCAAAGTATTCATAAAAGCTGTGAATTAGTAAGGAGGAGTGACTGAAATTCATTTCTCCTTTTAGTTCCATTCTCCATATACTCTGGTACAATTGCTACCAGGCAATTAGGTGGTCAGAGGATACATCTCAAACACAGGAGACAAGAGTTGGTTTGGGTAAAACACCAGTTGGAGAGATCATCTCCTGGCAGCAACAAAGTGTTGGTTAACTAGAGTTAAATAATGCTGACTCATTCTTGGCTACCTTAATTTATGCACTTAAACAAAACTAACCGATAATATTAAGATATATGTCTGTGGTGTAAATACATGTAAATTGCCATTCTCAAAATAGTCTTTATTGGCCATATTGTTATTATCATTTCATATGTGGAGCTGGCTTGTTAATGAAGTTCAAGGGTCCTCATCACGATTTGCATTGATGGTTGGGAGAAGATGAGTGTTGGTCTATATTTTACACACAAATAAACCCACGTTAGTTAATACTTGCTATACTCCTGTGACTGCTACAGAATGTTAAAAATTGTTGCCTGTGTGAATTATATTACGTTGTAGTCACAAAGAGAGTATATATACACAAATGAAAAATAAATCAACTTTATAATAACAAAACCAGGAGAATTTGATGATACATGAGGTGTCTTCTAGCAGTTGATGGAGAATACATGTGAAAAAAAAAAACTGTGTAGATTTCCAAAATTGCTGCATCAAAATAAACTGACCTTTTATTTCTATTTTCCACAAGCTTTGTGAGATACCCTTGTGCATTGTGTTTTCTCTCATGGTCATAAATGATGCTATTGTATCAGTATAATATAACATGTTTTAATTTTGTTATTTTTAAAAGATCATACCTCCATGGTAACTGAGATTTTCTGCCTTATGGACAAATCATTTTAGTTTTGGCTTTACCCTGATTCCCTGTGAGACAAGGGACAATTTTCGCTGCTGCAATTTAGCTTTTCCATATACAGAACAAGATAGTTCTTCATCTTCTCTTGACAAAATCTCTATGATATAAATTGTTGTTATGCCAGAGCTATTTTAAAAACTTCCACAGAGAGTGGGATTGAAGAGTTCTTTCTGGGTTTTGTTACAGGGATTTTTAGAGCATTATCAGATTTGAAAGCATTTTAGGATTTTGGTGAAGGGAGACATTAAAATATAATAATAAAATTAATATATATTGCTGCCCCTAGCAAAGCTACAGTGTCTAAAACATTTTAAAGATTTAAATTATGCTACTTTATCACTTTCTGTTTGTTGTACATATTTTCCCCTTATTATCTAAATATTCTCCACTGTTTTTTTATGGTTCCCAGGTCACTTCTTCTACTTGCTTAAATGAAGTTTGGGTGGTTCTTTTTACGATTTTAAGGCTGTTTCTTAAAATTCTGTTTCTGAATTTTCACTTCTGCTTTCTGAATTGTTGGGCACTGTGTTTGTAAAACTAGGGTCAAAGGTAATAATAGGTAGAAAAGTTCTGAAATCTAGGAATGGCTAAGCCACCAAAGCACTTACACCCTTAATTGGATCACTGAAGTTAGACAAGTTTTGGTAAACTGTGTGCACACCAATCTGTGTCACAAGCGTGAATGTATATTGCATACATGTGTGTCTATGTTTCGGGGGAAGGAATAAAATAATAGAATCCACCGACTATTACATAAGTATGAATAAGTCCATGGATTCTGTCATCTTTTGTTTAGCCCACCTCAAGTGCTATCTACAGCTAAAATTAACTTTGATATTGTTGGGTGCTTGTGTGATTGGAATCTATTAATTTTCTGTTTAGGAAGTAGGAAATAAAGCATTTAAGAATTAGTATTTTGTACTTTTTAATGTGTATTTGAACATTGTCTGCCAGCTTGAATTTCAAGAAATGTCTATATTAGTCCCACATGATATTGTATATTTGATGTTAAATATTAATGTCTGTTGAAAAAACAACACTCACATACTTTTGTATTTTTATTATATAATGTGAGCTAGGTACTACTGGAGTGGTTTATACTAAAAATAATGTTGTCCTTTTTAGTTCATCATTGCTTCAAGGATTTGGTGTAACAGAATTTTTCCCAAAGTGCAAGTTTGAAAATTATGTTTTCAAGTATAAGAATGTGACTTGGTCTTTAAAAAATATACTATTGTGCTTGAAAATGAAATGATACTGTCATGAGAATTGTATTCTATAGATTATTCTTAGTAATACTGAAGCTTTATTTTAAAAAACCATATGCCAAATTAAAATAAAAGGCTTTTTAAAAGTGCTATGTTGATAGAATTTCACTCCTAGGTATATACCTGTAAAAATTGATAACAGATCTTTATGTAAAAATTTGTACACACAAAAATTTGTACACACATGCTCTTTTCACAACAGTCAAAAGGCAGAAATGACCCTAGTGTTTACCAATAGAAGAACGGCTTAAACAAAATATGGTATATTCATTCAAAGGAATATTACTTGGTCATAAAAATAAATGATGTGTTGATGCATACTGTGATATGAATGAGCCTTGAAAATATTATGCTAGTTAAAAGAGGCCAAACACAAAATGTCACAAACTATATGATTCCATTTATATGAAATGTCAGAAATGAGAAAATCCACAAATATATATGTGAGTGGTTGGGGATTAGAAAAAAGAGGGGAATAAAATGTACTGCTTATTTGGCAAAGTGCTTCCATTTGGATTAATGAAAAGGTTCTGTAACATCTAGATAGTGGTGATGGTTGTATAGCATTATGAATGCATTGAGTGCCACTGAGTTGCACATTCTAAAATTGTTAAAGTGATAATTTTCATGTTATTTGTATTTTGCCACAAAAAAAATGGAAAGTAAATTTTATGCACCTGCACATACACACTCACACTGAATACCCATAGTAATAATTTTAGTTTATTGAAGATAATATTTTAAATTCAAAATGTATAAATAAATGCAAATCATTCATAATTACAGTGTTGTGAGATAACTGGTGCAAATAATTTGGAATACAGCCAAAACCTTCATATCTGTGGGTTCTACATCCAGAGATTCATCCAACTGGGGATCAAACCTATTCAGGAAAAAAAAATTGACATTGTACTATTTAGTACCTAAGCAAATAGTGTATAACTACTGTTTACCTAGACTTTGCATTGTATTAGCTATTATAACTAATCTAGAGATGGTTTAAAGTATATGGGAGACTATGCATAAGTTATATGCAAATATTACACCAGTTTCTATAAGGGATGTGAACATCCTTGATTTTTGGAAGCTATTGCCTATGACTACACGGGGATGACTTTATTTCTTTTCCTTCATTATCTGTGTCTGTATATGAACAAATCTGCATATTTGGTTATGTTACAGAGATCACATTGAATATATAGTTATTTAAAAGAAGATTGTGTGAAAATATTCGTTAATACTTTACTTTTGTATGTAAGTTAACTATTTGTGACGTGAAATTCCTTTGGGAAGTCTGTCCTCCCTATAAAACTATATGTTTCACTTTGAGATGATTCACACTGTCAAGAAAAGGCAATTTTTTCTTCCAAGAATAAAATATTTTATTCACCACAAGTTTCTAACTTTAACCTAAACTGTAAAGTCATATATGTTTATCCCACAGGGGAAAATAAGGATATGGTTACAGAATTTTAATAGAAAATTTTGAAATAACTGATAACAAATACATTTTGTATAAGTAGAAGCTTCTAACATAAGGCTTTTCTGTGGAAAGTACAATTTTCAGAGTTGACTCCCAAGTGTGTTACTGCACTGGAATTCCCAATTAAAGGGATGAAAAATGCTCAGATTAATGCAGGAAGAGAGTCATGTCTACCCAATCCAAAACATAGAGATGAGTAACATCCAAAACAAGGGAGACAGCCCTGTGGCTTTGAGGATGAAGAACGGGATGGTGCTGATATCCACCTGATTTTCAGATAGTCAGGAAGCAAATGAACTGCCATGGTACTGCCTACCATATTACTACTGCATTTCATCCAGAGTTTTTTCAGGAATTTTCCTTTCTTGACATGTCTTAATTTTATGGTTGAAGTTAGTGGAAAAATAGAATTTGAGATTTTGTTTTAGGATCTGGAGAGTCTCTCATTGATAATATAAAAGAATGCTTAATAAGTGTTTTCACAAGTAGATGCAATTAATTTGATGTCAATGTCTTATTTCCTCAAAACTGTATTTAAAATGAATGTCTATAGGCAGCCTCTTAAGGAGTCTGAGTATTCATTTAAAACAATAAAGCTATCGACAAAAGGCTGGAAAGACAAATGGGGCAGTGGCACTGTCCAGAGAACTGCCAGTCATTGTGCACTTCATGCGCTCCTTTATTGCCCTGTTATGTATGACAAGGATGATGAGCAAATAATTTGGGGAAAATATTCATTAACTGATAAATTGAAACATCCACCTGCAAAGCTAAAATGATGGTTAAATGTGGAAAATTTCTCTGCTAAGGGACATCCAACATGTGTTTGAACACAGAAGCTTCACACCATTGTTCCGTGTTCTTCAGTCAATTGCATGTTGATGAGATGGTTGACAGGCATAGTTCTTCAGAAAGAATAGATCATGTTTCACATTGGAGCCTTCCAAAATGATATGTAGCCTAGAACTTGTGTAAACTTTTTGGGAGTGATTTTTCCTTTTTGAAAACCCGGAAGAATATAAAGACCCAATGGCATTATAGTGAATGGTGTTTGACTGGAGTTTCTAGGTGTGTCATCTCT